TGGGTTTTTTCCTCCTGTCTTTCATGTTCTTATTATGAGTAAGTAAATCTTGCCCAATGCTGAGCCAAGTGGTCTTTTCCTTATAACTTTTTGTTTTTCCAGCTGTCAATATTTTGCTCATAGTTTGGTTTTTTAGTTTATCGTCTTGCTATATTTTTACAAATATTCCAATAGATCTGATGTATCTTTGAGTCAAAAGCTCAAGTATATTTTTCAACATTCTATCTGTGTCTTCTTTTTTCTTGAACTCTTTTTCTCACACTCCATAGCCATCTGTTCCAGTCTGGGTGGATATACTCTAAGCCTGGCCTGTACAGGGCTTTCATCCTGAGACTTCTCTTTGCTGACAGACTGGGTTATATTTTGCTTTCCTGGATCACATACTTTGTTTTTTTCTTAGTGAATTCTCTTATCTTGCTGAAACACATCTTTTCATGTCTTCTGTGGGGTTTGAAATCCAGGATTAATTGATTTCTAAGCTTGAGAAAGTAGATTCATTGCAAAAGACATTATTTTGAGCCCATATTTATGTACTTTTAATAACTGCATATTATTCTATCCTATGAATATACCATAATTTGTTTACCCTATCTTTTGATATTGGGCACTCTGGTTACTTGTAGTTGTTTTCTACTACAAATAATGAGTTATCAAGATTATGAAGTCAAAGATAATGTATTTTAAATGTTGAATGTTTGCCAAATAACTTTACAGAAATATCTCACCAAGTAACACTCCTATCAGTAGTCTATGAGAATGCCCATTTATTCTAATACTTACCAGTTATAGGAATCACCAAAATGTGAGTATTTTTGGCAGACTGATAGAAGAATTGCATCTTTTGATTTTAATTTGCACTTTTTTAGTTATAAGTGAAATTGATTGTCCTTTCATATGTTTACTAGTCATTTATTTTCTCGATAATGAGCCATTTGATTCTATTTTCCATCTTTCTACTGGGGTTTTCATCTTTTTGAATTGATGTATGATATTTTTATAAATTGAGGACGAGAGTTCCTTGCCACATATGTAGCCCATGTGTTTTTCAGGTTTCTTGTGGGTCTTCCATCTTGCTGAATGATACTTGCCACACTGAAGTTTTAAATTTTTATTTACTCAGATTGATCTTTTACGGATTTTGAATTTGGTGTCTTAAGTTACAAAGACTATGCCACTCTGTGATTACAAATAAGTTCACTCACGCATTCTTCTGGAATGTGTATTGCTCAGTTTTTAATGTTTGAATTTTTTATCTATCTGGCATCTGTTGTCTTGTAAGGAGTGAGAGATTCATAGACTTTAAAAAAGAAATCTTACTGGCAAACTTGAGTTAAAAGTAAAATATATAAAGCATTTTAGTATATCCTTTCATCCTAAATAAAAAATAGGTAACACCTAAAAGACATGTAGCGGATACCTAGTGGCCTTCACTCGAAGACCAACTATCCTTTCACATGGTGGCCAGTAAAGATGGTAGCACTGAATGCTTTGTAATAAAACATGTCTTTGAGAGATACTGTAATTATTTACAAGAAAGCCAGTGATACTTAAAAATGCATGTGATGGAGAGATAATTTTGTGTGTTGAACGTATTTCTAGTAGGACATTGAGTTGTTTTTTTTTTTAATAGAAAATTTTTTCAGCACAATTCTAGGAACTTGACATTTACTTCAAAGGTCCTCCTCTCCTCTCCTGACTCTCCACTGTCACCTGCCATTTGTCTTCTCTCCTTTCCTGAATTTTTTAATTACTGCAATAATACTTATTGGGTGTTTGATATTGATTATATGAAGATGTTATAATACAGTCCTTCGACTCAAGTTGCTCACAACTAATTGGGCATTAAATCTCTTATAGAAGTTAGAGAATGAAAATGGTTATGCTGTGGGCAGAACTTTTACTGTAGGAATTTTTGTGACTGTTAATTCATGCTGTTACTTCCTTGTGTTATCCAGGTTCACTTTGATGGCTGGAATAGTTGCTATGATTACTGGATAGATGCAGATTCTCCTGATATTCACCCTGTGGGCTGGTGTTCAAAAACCGGACATCCTCTCCAGCCTCCTTTGAGTAAGAGACACAAGGACAACTTACATAAATGTTTCCATTTTCTTATGTAACATGCTTAATATTTCATCCTTTCCTCCTCTCTTCTCCTCCCTTGTCCACTGTATGTTTCTTTTCTATGTAATCCTTTTCCTTTTACCACATTTTTAAATTACCGTCGTCACAATAATATAAAAGAAAAAAACGTAGTGCCTGAAAAAGTAAAGTGTGTATAGACTTTCTCTTACTTTTATTGAGAAGTAAACATCGCCTTTTAAAATTAGTACTGAATTTTTGGAAGACAATTTTTGAGACTTTCAAAATTTATCACATCAATGTCAGTATTGTAGTAGTGATTTTATACTATAGCTTTGCAAAATTTGCAAAATGTTACCATTGGGAGAAACTGGGTAAAGTGTAAAAGGGATCTCCCTCTGTATTATTACTTACAACTGCATGTGAATCTATAAGTATTTCAATGAAAATTTCAGCTAAATTCAGTGAAATGGATACATTGGGAACTTAGTGCACCATGATCTCAATTTTGAGGGAAAATATATACATCATAGGAAAAAAATGTAGGAAATAAAATGAATTTTTGTCAGGTTTTTTAAAAATTTAGTGTACTTTCTCTGTCTACTGGCTTCGCTTCTGGATGCTACATGCAAACTGCCTAAGAGCACAAAAATATATATACATAGTATTCATTGCAACATGTTTAAAATAACAAAACTTCCAAGTAAATATTGGTCAAATAAATTACGGTACATCATACTATAGATACTGTGTAACAGTCATAAAGAATATTAATATTGCAAAGGAAACATTTATAAGACAAGAAGTTAAAAATCAAAGAAAAATGTTTCAGAACAGTACAGATCTATGTTGTCTCTTTTATGTGACAAAATAAAACAAAATTGATTGTATCTGAATGCTTAGAACGACATCCAGGAGGGTACATATTAGCTTCGGTGGTCAGGGTGAGGGAGGGTCTGAAATGTAGAAGGAGGCACATATAAAGAGTACATAAAGGATCTGGAACTTTATTCTGGACTCTGGTGCAGTATTTGAAGTTTTCATAGTATGTGAGTATTCATGTGTTAATTATGTTACTTACTTTATAAAACTTGTTTGCATTTTCTCATTAATTCACATTTAGGTATCTTCAATAACGTTAGATCAAAGTCTACCATTTCACTATTGGAGAAAAATAAACAAATAGTGTGAACAAAGTCATAGGGAAAAAACCTTTAAAAATAGAGACTTTTAAGATATTATTTCATTTTTACAGGATCTATTTTTTATATATGTTGGTTCAAAAATTGAAGTTTTAGGGAGTTTTTTCTTCCTTATACTGATCTCAGACATTTGATTCTTACAGCTTTTTCTTAACATTTTGCCCCTTTTTCTTCTTTTGTTGCTTTCTTGTAGGCCCCTTGGAATTAATGGAAGCTTCAGAACATGGTGGATGCTCGACCCCAGGATGTAAAGGGATTGGCCATTTCAAGAGAGCAAGGCATCTGGGCCCTCACAGGTAGGTGGTGGCTCCACTCACATGAGGCTTTTCTTACATGGTCAAATACAGGGTACCTATCGCATATGTATAAAGTAATGATTTCCATGTATACTAAACTGATGTGAACTGATTTTAAATTCAGATCCATAAGAAATGTGGTTACCATGGTGACCATGTAAAAATGAAGGGAATATCTATAGTTAAATCTTCCTGGGAGAAAATGCATTCACAATTTAAAATAAATTTACTCTAGTTGTTTGGCTTTTCTTGGCAACCTGACTAGTTTTAGTTATTTTGAGTTGACCATTAATAATGAGAAGAGGGGAGGCCTCTTGAAAACATTTGGTAGAATGTTATATGATTAGGTGACTCGGTAATTTGAATAATGAGATGAAAGTGTTGCGGATTAGCAGCAGAGATCACAAAAAGCACAATATAGTCAAACATGAGAATGCATTAGTCAGAAAAGCGTTTTTTAATATTTTTCTCTTACTCCTAGGTATTAAAAAAGAAAACCAATTTATTTGAAATTTGATGTATTTAGGTGATTTGGGAATCTTTTGTAGACATTTAAAAATATTACCAAAATAATAAGAAATTCCTGTGATATAACCGGGATTTATAAGGAACAAAGGCATCACCTATTTAGGTGTATTTTAAAATGATAAATTGTCAGTATAATGTTCTAACTATGTATTAATTGGATTGCCTGGTAAGAGCAATGATTCCTTGTTTATCTTGTTTGTACAGGTTGTGAATCTAGGTTTTTAAAAAATTTGAAGATTGCTTTACCTGTTCCTCGAAGAGTTAATAGGAATTACAGAATTGGTGTGATTATTTTCATCTAGATATAGTTTCCTTTTTCTTTCATCTCTGCAACCTCAAATCCTGCTTATCTCCCTTTTGTAACACTTCTCCCTAGTTTTTATGAGGTTCATCATGTTCCAGAGTAAAAAGTCTGAGCGTCAACAGGATGATTCCATTTGCAAGTATTCATTTAAAAATGCAGTAGCCAATATAATTTAAACTGAATCCCAAGAGAACAGTGGGATATCTAATGTACACGTCTATAAAAATACTGTGGAATAAGCCAGGAAGGATAGATGTATTTGCAAGTGGTGTTCCAAAGCATCCTTCCGTAAGTAAAACAAATATTCAGACCACAGGCTTTAACTCATACACAGATTTTTTTTAAATGAAGTGTCAATAGAAAGTTAAAAATCAAGGGTTTTTAGTAATATATACAATGCCACTTCTTGCCATCATTTTGAAATTATTAAAACAAGCATAGTGAGCTCAGAAAGCAAACCTGATGCCTTTGTGGGAGATGGAGCCACATTTGTGTTCTGGGTGGGATCACCTCTGCAGGAGAACATTGCATTTTCTCCTAAAGGCAAAATGCTTGTAGGTTTTGCCTCTTTGATTTGTATTTACCTTTAAATTGCACTTGTTCACCCACCAGTGTTTACGAAATCCTATATTTGGGATGCTTTTTCTATAATAAAATATTATCATTTCTGAAAAAAAAATCCTTTTCATTGTTTGTATAACTGCAAACCAAAAGTTGGATGATTAATTTAAACTTGAAGTTAAAAATGCTATATCTTAGAAGTTATTAAATATTGCCTAGTGAAGGCAGCTAGATTATTTTTCAGGCATTGTATAAGTCTAAATGCCAGAAATAATTCATGATTATGCTAAATTTGTGTTATTGTTTTAGTTCGTTTTATCTTGCTATAGCAGAACACCACAGAGACTGTTGTGGTCTGTAAATATATATTTATGTATTTATTTATGAATTTATGATTGAATGAATGAGATGAGGCTTTGGTTTATCACTGAGGCTATAGTGCAGTAGTGAAATCATAGCTCGCTGCAGCCTCTAATTCCTCAGCTCAAGTGATCCTCCTGGCTCAGCCTCCTTTATAGCTGGGACTACAGGCACACCCCACTATACCCAGCTAATTTTTTTTTAATTTTATTTTTTAGAGACAGGGTCTTGCTATGTTGCCCAGGCTCGTCTCGAAGTCTTGGCTTCAAGCGATCCTCTGCCTCAGCGTCCCGAGTCGCTAGGATTACAGGCATGAGCCACCATGCCCAGCTTGGGTAGTTTAGAAAGAAATGTATTTCTCACATTTCTGGAGGCTGGAAAGTCCAAGATTAAGGGGCCACCATCTGGTGAGGGCTCTTCTTGCTGGAGCATCCCACAGCGGAAGGGCAAGATAGTATGTGCAAGAGAGCAAGAGAGGGCCAAAGTCACTTTTATAACAACCCACTCTGGCAATAATGAACCACTCTTGAGATAACATTAATCCATCCATGAGAGGGGGACCTAATCACCTCTTCATGGTCTCACCCCAATACTGTCACAATGGCAATAAATTTCAGCATGAAGTTTTGAAGGGGACATTCAAATCATAGCAAAAATATACTCAGAAATTCATTCGGTAGATATTTTTGAGCAGCAGGTTTTTCAGTAAGAATAAGATTTATTGAGTGTTTATTTACTCTGTATGAGACACTGCTGCAATTGCTTTACCTGTATTGGGTAGCCTTCAAAACAACCTTATCACATAAGAACTGGGTTTTCCCCCCTAGTTTTTGATGAGGCCACTATGGCACTAGAGAGGTTGAGTAACTGGCCTCACTTAACAGCTGGTGACGGGGAGCCCAGCGGAGCTCATGGGTCTGTGCTCTGGACCATTGCCCTCTCACTGCCAGCTGCCTCCAAGGCTGTGCTCCATGAGGTAGTCACGGACCAACCTTCAGAGAACTCAGGGACTGATGGAACTATAAAAGCTGTACGTGATTTAATTAAAATATACGACACAAAATTAATAACTAATATTGGAACTTTGATACACGTTCCTTTCTACTGTACAATCCAAAAACATTCATTGCACTAAAGGCAATTTGCTAAAATTGTAAAGGAAAATAACATAGAAATTCTTAAGACAAGTGAATATTGACAGTACATTGTTGGGGTACAATTGGAAGCTTAAAATTTTTTTTTTTTTTTTTTGGTCTTCTGGGAGGACGACACACCTTACAGCAGTCTGTGTTCTCTTTGGGACTGCTTCAGGTCTGAGTGGAGAGGTTCGCCTTTCACAGCAAGTTCTGCGGTGACGGTCGTTCTCCTCCCTGATGGCCTGGCTGTTCATCAGGACCACCTTTCCCCAGGGGTGCAGGTGGACCTCTGAGGGTCCCTCAGCTGGGCTGTACCCATTTCACTGAGTGTCAGTGGTTATCTTTGGGGCATTTCTTCATGCATGCAGTGTCGTGCTTGTTAAGAAAAAGATTCATGGAGGAGTTCATGGAGAAACATGGCAAAGAAACTCTTTTAGGATAATTGGAACGATAATAGAGAATTACTCATTTTCTTGGAAGGAGAGGCAGAAGTACACCTTATGGTTTAAAAGACAAGCATTGACAAAGAAGCCGTATTCCTCTTCTTGTTACATAGAGGGCACAATTAGCAGATCCTGTGCCTTGGGAAGAGTTGTTGGTTGATAAGGGCCTCTGGAAGGAGGGGAATAATTCACAGAACTTGTGGGAGGTCCCAGCTTCTGCCCAAGTGCTCTCTTGCCTACTCATCAGCCTTGGAACTGGGTTTTCTTAGAATCCCTGACTATGCGATCCTATTCACAACACTCAAAGCTCTTTTTCTGGTAGGATATTAATCCTTAACAGGCACAGCCTGTTTTCCATTTCATTAGTAGACTTGTGGAATGGCGTGCCGCATCATGGATATTCTTGGAAAGGTTCATTTCACTGGTGTTTATTTTTGTTCTTACTAAGAATGCTGTATTTAGGAAGACATAATGAGAAAATTCTCTTTGGATTAATTTACTAAGAAACTGCATATATCAAAACTTGCATTCTTTGCTTAGATAACAAGGGAACTTTCTCTTTTAGCAAGAATAATCAATTTTATGGACCTATAAGCAAAAGACTTTGTTTTGACTTGCATTTGTTGTTACTTTCTCTGAAGATTGCAGTAGTTGGATTTGATCTAATAAGTGTTAGAAGCAGAATGTGTGTCTGAACAATGACGTTTGAGAATGTGACTCTTGTTTTAATGTTGAAATGTAAATGATCAGTAAAAGAGTCGGATGTGGATATGGTGTTCTCATCTCCAGGGATATTCAGTAGCCAGATTGCTAAATTCTATTTCTATAGCACACGAGGGTTAATATTGGTTGCGTCATGGTGTTTTCCTTTGTCAGTTTGGCCTACTGAGTGGTCAAGGAATGGGAGGAGACTAAAGTTTTTATGTAAAAGTAGATATCCTACATATCTAGTGCCTTCAGGGGTAAATTTTTTCTATGTAAGATTTTTATCTTGGAAAAATAAAGCAAGAAAAGACAAAACAGAGAGTATTTCCAACAACCTCTAAAGGGTATTTATGAAATCCTTGGGATGTTTGAAAGCGTGGGAACTCTGGATGTGCACCTGCGAGCTGTAAACATCGTATTCATTCAATATCCATCCATCCGTCGAACAGACACTTGCCGACTGCCTGCTCTGTGCCACGTGCTGGCTCGGTGATAGGCTATACAGAGGAGAGGGACCCTCCTTCTCAGGAGGCCAGTCTGGTGAACAGATTCTCATAGGGGCACAAATGGCGTAGCACAGAGAGAGAAGCACCAGCTTTTTCCGAGGGAAGCATAGCCTTCACTGTGAGTCATGTTACAGAGTTTTCAGTGCTGTTTGGTTTTGCTGAGGTTCTTTTACACAATAGGGGTTAAATGTCCCCCTTCCTTTTTAAATAATAATTCTGATAGGATTATTGGTAGGATTTATTGAAGACTTCTTACGTTCCAGGCACTATTCCAAGGACTTACATGTATGATCTCATTTAATCTTCACAGCAACTCTGTGAATTAGGCACTGTTCCAATTCCTGTTTTACAGATGAGGAGACAGAGATTTGAAATAGGGTAGTGAGCACCTAAGATCAACATTGGCAGAACTGGGGTCAGTTTACTCTTAACTGCTAGCTGGGCACCCATGCACAGC